ATTTCTTCCCTCCAGAGAAGTCTTGCCTCAGTCAACATGCAGTATTGATGTTACTCTAGGAATGACTCAGCTATTTTACTTTACTTTTATTTTTGATCATCACATTCGAGCAAAACTCTGGCTTGCATCCATAGATGCTTCTCGGGCAAATCCCAGGATGTCATCCTCCCACTGTACTCGGCCTTGGTGAGGCTGCAGCTGGAGTACTGAATCCAATTCTGGGCTCCACAATTTAAACAGGATGTGGAAAAACTTGAGCGAATCCAGAGGAGAGCCACGTGTATGATCAGCAGGCAGGAGAACAGGCCCTACGATGAGAGGCTGAGAGCCATGGGACCCTGAAGAGCACAGGCTCGGGGCTGAGGGGAACCTGGTGGCTGCCTTTAAGTATATAAGGGGTGAGCATCAGGGTCTGGGGGAATGCCTGTTCATCAGAGTGCCTCAAGGGATGACAAGGTGGAAAGGTCACAACCTCCTCCAAGACTGTTTCAGGCTGGACATAAGGAAAAACTTCTTTACTATCCGAGCCCCCAAGGCCTGGAATAGACTTCTTCCAGAGGTGGTGCAAGCACCTACTCTGGACTCTTTTAAGAAACATTGGACGTCTATCTTGCTGGGAGCCTTTGACCCTAGCTGACTTCCTGCCCCTGGGGCAGCGGGCTGGACTCGGTGACCCTCCGAAGTCCCTTCCAGCCCTAATGTCTATGAAAGCTATGAAATTCCATGTACAGCTCTATTTTACTGCACTGTATGCAAATCTTTCACCAAATATAGATTTAATAATGTCCTTATGACATTTTTGCCAATGCTCATCAGTATTCGGGTGCTTTATAAGCATTAATGAACCTTATTTTCATCATAACCCTTTGAGTTAGGGAGGTATTATTTTACACAATAGAGGCACAGGGAATAAAAAGTAAAAATTGTCAAGTACTTATGGATTTCTCACAGTACTTTGCATTACATTGCACTTCATATGTTCAAAGCATCCAATGACTTCGGTTGAGCAAATTAGGCCCTGCAGAACCAAGATGGGGATGCAGAAAATAAGGAACACATAATTAGCAAGCTCTCGTGAAAAATCTACCTTAAGTAATTTTTTCAACATCATACTCAGAAGTCTGTAGCAGAAACAAGTATAGAATTCATTTCTCCAAGAGACCACCGTGTTTTGGTCCAATCTATGCTTGTTCACTAGACAACAGTCAGCTTTTGCAACAGGCAGCAGGGGAGCTACAGACAACAATCTTCTTCATGAAAGAACCTGATTCATTCTCATATATTCCTTACCTAGCCAGTTAGAGTGAATGAAGCAAGGGTCATGTGGACGATGGCCTTTCCTTACATGATCACATACTATCATAATACACATGGGAAGATGGGGGCAACCGCATAAGGCAACCTTAATTCATATTTTAACTTTGAAGTAATTGACTTTGCAATTTTTATTTTTGGGGGGAATAGGGAATATTCTAAATATTCTGAAAAACATATTGGAACTCCCTGCTACACAAAATTTGCATCACTTGGAACTTTATTGCCCACTACATGTCTCATCTTCAGGAATGGAAGTTTAAAATCAACTACACTAACCTCTGCCTCTTAGGCTAGCAGAATAAGTACTTTTTGTAGTAGACGGTCATCTTCTCTGTGGGCCAGCTATGAAGATGGATGAGGTGCATATACTTTGTCAGTAGTTTTCAATGCCAACATGCTGAGACTCAGGACTCCTGAGACAAGGTTCTTAGGGTAAATCTCTTTTATTAGGCCAACTCAAATAGTTGGAAAAATTCTTCTTAGCAAGCTTTTGGGTTTAAATGCCCTTCATTAGGCTGAGGAAGCATCTGCCATTGGTATGTGCTCTTCCTGGATGGAATGAATAGTAAAGCCAGAGGCTGGTATGCATGCAGGAAAGCCAGTCTGTGAGGATGCAAATTGAGGAGTCAGTGAGTAAGGGGGATGGTGGGAGGGGGATGGATGTAGCAGGTAAATAGTAGACATGTTTCCACTTTTTACCTGCTACATTCATCCCCATCCCCCCAGCCTCTCTCTCACCCACTGACTCCTCAATTTACATCTTCACTGACTAGCTTCCTTGCATGCATGCCAGCTTCTTTACTATTCATTCTTTCCAGGAAGAGCACATACCAATTGCAGATGCTTCCTCAGCCTGATGAATGGTATTTAAACCCGAAACCTTGCTAAGAAGAATTTTTCCAACTATTTCAGCTGATCTAATAAAAAATATCAGATTTATCCTAAGAACCTTGTCTGCCTCTGTCCTTAGACCAACACAGCTACAATCTACACCCCTGTAACATGGAAGGACTTCTGAGATACACTCTAGGTCCTGGCATTAAGTGCTCCCTAGTGGTTACAGGATATTCTGGACCTGTTCAGCTCCTTTTCTCATGGGTATGGGTAGCTATTAAATCCTGTGCTCCTATCCTTCTCATACCCCTGAAGGAAGCTTTCACCCCTGTCCCTCTTTGCTTCTGTTTCTCCACCTTCTTTGACAGCTCCTCTCTTTCTCCTACCATGTTCCTATATAAACGGATCCATTACAAATGTAACTGCAGAGGTATCTCCAGGATTTTGAGGTTGATCAATAACATTTATTCCAGGTATTGTTTTATATTATAATCAGATAGTTTTGGAGATTCCATTGCGCATCATTTTGCGTTTAAGTTTTTTTTTTTACATTAACTGTTTAATTTTACATTTTTTTTTTATATTTATCAAATATGTTGATATTGCTTGATAAATCAGACTGTTTATTACATACTGAATACATTTGTTTAAGAAATCAAAAGTTGCCCTTACTACAAATTACACATAATACATCCTATTGCTAAAAGAAAAAAATCCCAATTACTTCATGTCTGCTCACACAGAGACCACTGCCACTGTGTTTTATCATGGGGTAGAAGAAACCTCACAGCTAAATGTTTAAGAACAACTGACTATTTTTAAAATATAAGCTGATCAATATAGGCTGAATCCATTTTAAATTATCCAGATTAAAAAGGCACTTAAGCCATGTGATATTCCTCTGCCAAGGGGTGAATTTCCCCCATAATGATTAAGAAATCAATTTAATTGAACATATTTAATAGCAACTCAAATACAAAAGCTAATACCCATGATTATCATGCTTCAAAAATTTACAACTAAGTGCCACATAAGGGGTTTAATATATTTTTTAAACATACTGTATATCCACAAAGAGTTTAAAGGTTTCATAACTCACAGTTCCCATCTTAAGTGTTTTGAGAGATCAGACTGTCAAAAAGAAAGAGGAATAAGAACACGATTATAAGTAGTATTATTGCACAGTTTAGGAGGCTAAGTTATGGATCGGAATCCCACTATATTATGAGATTTAAAAGCACAGATCAACAGACTAAACAGGAAAGGGAGTAAAGATAGGAAATAAAAATTACTGAACCCTCTTCCCCCCTAAAATGTAATATAAATTAAAAAATACCCTAGAGCTTTGGTCATAAGTTAAAATAATTAAAACCAGGTAAAATAACAACGGTATTAATCACTGGAATGCCACAATTGCATCAACGTAACTTCAATTGATGCTTTGACATTTCTAGGAAAACCCACTATTATTGATGTCCTCTGAGGCTTTTGTTAGTATTTAAAAAAAAAAATTAAAAACCTCTAGTGATTCAATCAAGCACACACTCTCATGTGGAGAAAATGATATTTTAAACACAGTACACCAAAAGCATTTTATTATCTCTCTATTACACCTGAAACCATGACTGATTGGTTCCTTAGCTGAGCACTGAAGGTCTTTGCTACGATCATGAAATGAGCATGGATGGCTACCACTCATGGGATGTTTTGATTGTATGTAAGCCTTCAGCAGGTTTACAAGTGGGAAACTGGGCTGCATATGCACTTACATGTGCAGATTAATGAACCAGTCCATAGTGAGGACACAAAACTTGTTATTTCAAATCCATTTTAGTTAATCAAGTGGTTTAATAAGGAACTGTAGTATGCCGCTGGGATTGCCCTGGTGGACTGCATGTGGCTTGTGTGTTGTGCACCACTGAATTAAGGTGGCTATTTCAGGCTATTTTAGAAGTTGCCCTATTTCATTAACTGAAATTCTGTTAAAAACATACAATTCTAGCTACTTGTTAACTATTCGGTTTTGCATGCTGCTAAAATATGCTTAATTTGCTTGTGAACTGATCAATTTACCCCTAGCTATCATGCAACACATGGCACTCCAGAAAGCCATCACAGTTTCTTAGGTCTTGACCTTTCAAAATATAAACTCTCTCACATAAGTATACAGGTATTGTACTGATCTCAGGTGTGGTATATTTTTGGGAAAAGTTGTTTTGTTAAAGTAAAAACTGTTAATCCCATAATATGTAATAGGCTGTCAACAATATTTAGAACTTCCTCACATTTCAAAGACCTGCTGGGCTAAAAAAATTCTGTTTCCAAATTTCCAAAATGCCTAATTCCAAAAGTGGACTACTTCCAAACACAAAGCTTTTATTCTGTAACCAGGACAGAATCCAACCATTCTTACAAAAGATTCTACCACTATAAACAGTCACCAACTAGAAATCCGTAGTGTTGAAAGACTTCTAAAAGACAACAAACTACAAGCATTTACTATATAGAGAAAAATCAATAACCTTTACAAGAACTGTATTCAGGTATGGGTTCATTTCTACAAATAAAAGTAATACAATGGATGAATCTTATGCTACTTTCAGATAACCATACTTGCTTTTCACTTTGTAGCAGTACAATAAAAACTTAATGACTCCAGCTGAAAATGAAAGTACAACGGGTCAACATAACAGACTGAGAGATATAACTTGTTTACATTATTAATGCCATTACATTAATAATGTAACAAGTTATATCAATTACTGAACTGAGAATATACAGTGTAGCTATAACTACAGACAAAGGTTTCCAAACTCAAAAATATAACTTGTTGATACTGAAAAACCTACCTGTATAAGGAAACTGGCCCAGTCCTGTTTCCATTGAAATAACTGGCAGAACTCCAACTCACTTCAGTGGAACTAGGGTCCAAGTCTGTAACCTACAGCATTACTAACAAAGATAAATTACACTTGGTAAACTCTATCCTACAATCCTCACCTCACACAAATACTCCAATAGGATTACTTTCAGCAAAGATTGCAGAACTGTGACTTCATTTGCATTTCAAAACGTGAATCTGCCCATCCAGGTATTTGATACATATAGTATTATAAATACATGCACACAAGTACTTGATCTATAACTACATTGCTATAATCATTCAAGGATTTCAGTTTATAGTATTAATGTACTTTTGTACAAAAGTACAATGGCTGGAATGTTAAGTGTTAACTACATTTTCAGACTATTTTAATGGAAGAAACAATTTTAAACCTAAATCATCATGGAAGGATAGAGGAAAGAAAAGGTGATTTTTTTTAAAGCCATGACACACAGAAGAAACAATTACATTTTTTCACCTTGGAAGATGTAGCATAGAAAATAAAATGCAAAGTGTATAATATTTTTAGGAATTATTTTGTAAATGGTGTATATAATTGTATTTACAGCAAACAGATATGTACCACTACAGTGGGACTATAACCTTTGCTTTGTAACTCATTTTCCACACTGTGAAAACATCCCACAATCAAATTAAACAGAAAAATAAATTCATTTCCATTGTACAATTACTACACTTTTGGTTAAAACGGTTGTCAGTCACCTGAATAACAATCTTCCTAACTATTACTAACTCTTTAATTTGCCTCTGAAGAATGATGCAGACTTCAGACTAAAATATGATTAGCAGAAAAAAGTATGTTAAATTTGTTCATGCTAATTTGTTTGTATGAAGATCAGTTTTCAATTCTTCTAGCAGTGTATTTGGGATTTCATTATTATTTTACATAAAGATTTGGAGCATTTGGGGTTTAAATATAGACTTAAAGCACTATGGCAACCCACAGAAAATTTCTATAAGTAATTGCCAGTAAAGTATAAAACTTTATTTCTCATGAAAGATACTTTGAAATAAAGTTAAGTTACCTTACTTTTTTCTACTATTTTTTATATCAGATTTCTTATCTCTTCCCACCCCACCAAAGCCAAATAAATTAAATAAAAACATTTAAATGCAGAAACATTACATAACATATATAACAGCTCCCAGTGAAATAAAGCATTTATCAAAGCTGTGGTTGTGGCAGAAGTTATTTTTTATGCCCCATCCTTAAAAAGTATTGTGCATTTCAGATAAATAGATTATTTCTCCATGAGCTATTGTGTAAGTACAATATACACAGATGAACATATTGAGCATAATTATACGTAAATATGGATTTATACACATTAAATACAAATATGAAACACTTATGATGAAAAATAGATTAATTTCTTTCTGGCTAAGTATCCAGTTTTCAAGCTGTGATACTCAGCATTCTTAAACTTTGATGCATTACAGCATATTTCCACTCTCTTAGATGCAATAGTAAGGCTATTGCGTCTGCAAGTCCATAATCTAAACCTTCCTTTTAGGACTTTCTGTTACTTTCTTTGTATTTTAGAAATTTGATAATCTACTTGATCACAACTGGCATGATGTCCTATGCTGGTGATCCTTACCATTCCAATACAGAAAACTTTACAAGTCCCCTGTAACACTTTTGCTAACAACATATTATATTTGTATTTTAACTAGAGCGAAAGCTTACACACTTGGGACTGGACTCAATACAAACTATTCAGTTTCAACACTGCAGAAGCCCATAAAATCTTTCCATGCCAAATAACTATTCTGGGACTGCATGGGCATCTCTGGATGAGGTGAAGAGAGCCAAGAAAGATGCCATTACTGAACCCAGCTCTAAAAAGTTTATAAACACATGTCCTTAAATCAAGTATAAATGTTTGGGGCCTGATTTGCAGAAATGCTGAATAACCACAAATTCAAAGTCAGTCAGTGGGAGTTGTGGTATTCAGCACATCTGAAAAGAAGCCAGGCTTTTTGGAAGGATTTTTAATATAAATGTCTATCCTCTGATATACCAGTGCAACTGGATCAAATGATTTGGGTAGGTCTCTGAAAGACATGTGCATGCAGGAGACCACTCTTTTCAGAATTAGACTGTATTTACTGAATCACATCCTACCAGACTAGTAGCAGAAATGTGCTCCTATTATTTACAAAGTATAAAGTGCATTATGATTTAATTATAGAACTGACAGATTTTCTGCCTGGACCATACAACTTTGAAATAGAGGTGAGGGCTTTATGTAAAATTCTCTCATGAGATCCTATGAATTCAAGAGGTTCAGACTGATGTTCTTCACCCTGTCCTCCTAGAATTGTTTTTGGCCATTCTCTTTAGTGCAAATAAGCTTGTGTTTTTATCAAGTTTAAGGGACATGGCAGTTTTTCGGCTTAAAGAATGAAGATTTAAAATGCATCAGGAATTCAGTATTCCTCTGCATAATGATAGGCCCTTCTGCACATAAGCAGCATGTTATTGCTGCTCTCAAAAGCTGGGAATACACTGCCAAAATAATGAGGAACCCGTTTAGAAATTTAATCGCTTTAAGCTTGCATTGCTACATTTCCAGTTCGCTGTATTATCCTTGAAATAGAAGATCTGCAAACATCAGTGCTTTATGTTGCTGTGGAAAACTAGTAACTAGTGCTTACCCATCAATAACTAGCTACTAACATTAAGGCTCGGGTTTCATCTTAGATATTCAGGTGGGAGAATAAGTGCAATAGCTGATTTTACAAAGTAGAAGGCAGCACCTGCCTGTGTGTCAAAATTGAGAATTGAGCCCTATTTAGTAACCAGCAAATGCTGAATTCCTTGGGTAATATTTAAAACAAGCTAATTTCTTTTTGAACTCCAATAAATGAATACAGGAAGTAAAATTAAGAAGCAATGGTGCAGAGTGACACTGATCTGCACTAAACTGGAACACTTTTAAAACCCAGGATGCAGTGTAACTGTAATTGTTTATACAATAATCAAAATGGCAACCTGATACTAAGAAGCAATGCTACATAGCATTTTTTTTTTGTTTTTTGTTTAAATCGGTGAAGAAAATTTATCTTTTTAAATTACTTGTTCAAGGAAAATATTCTCTCCTTTAAGAGGAAAGGAGTACAAGGAATGCAAACTTATGGGCATTAAACATATTAGCCAAAGGAGATTTTAACATTGACTGATGAAAAAATAACTTTAAACTGGAAGATCTTGAATGTACAGGGGAAAATACCACACACAAAGAGAGGGTATGTGTGTGGCGGAGGGGGAAGGACAGCAAAGGGGACAGTGGGGTGGTGGGGAAAAGGGGGAGCATAAAAGTTTCCTACATTCATAGCTCCAGGTGGTTGGAATATTTGACAATGTCATCATTACTCCAGGCACTGTGATGGGCAGCAGCAATCAGTGATACAATATCTCATGCATCAGTTAATTTTTCACTAAATTCTGTAATCAAACCAAGAATAGAACAAAAGGCTACTTGATACCATTTTTTACCTCCTTAAAACTGTTTTTTCTCTATGGAATATGAACCAGTATCCCCAAGACTAAGGAAAAATTATAAACCTTAATTGATTTGTCATATTGCCAGATGGCCTACTAGCAATTAAGTAACTGAATAAGGAAACACTGATTTTGATTAGAGAATATATGAAACAGCAATCTATGCATTCGTTTATGGTATTTTTGGCACTAAGCCAACTAGTTATTAGGCATAACTGTTACATAAGGGGGAATTCACCTAAAACAGTGAAATTGACTTCCTTATGTCTATTGTTTTCCATCACAACTATAACATTTTCATAACGGTTCTTTGGTGACTGGTGCAAATTCATTTTTAATTAAGCCAAACAAATTATTTTTAGCACTCAAACTAAAATTCAGATTACTTTCTCAATCCACTCAGTCCCCACACACAGGCCTCCTTGAAGTTATTAGTGATGTGGCAGATCAAAGATATGATATGGCATTGGAATTTATTAAATTTGCCTCAAATTGTGCAGGTGTATTAGCGAACATCTTGGTGGCAGATAAATATGTTTCTGGACAGTCCAATATATGTTTGGATTAAAAGATAGGTGGCTCATATACATGCTGGGCCAACTGATAAAAAAGGCTGATTTGTGTGGTAGTAAGTTTCCCTACCTTTATGGAGCATATTTTAAAACACTTAAAAAAAAAAAAAAAAAAAAAAAAAAAAAGGCAACACGGACGTGATACAGAAAGAACTCACTGCCCAATCTGACTCCCACTGACTTCTGTGGGAGAGAAACTGGCCCTCCTGGTTGAAAAGTTCCTTGTAACAATTTTCTTGATTTAAGGGATAGAATATTCAAAATGCTTTCCATTTCCCCTTTTCTAACTTCATACTCCTGAAGCACTGTCTCCCTCTAAGAATCCCACAGTATTACAAGAGACTTTATTACAGACGTAAGAGTCCGTGAGCAAGGATCAAATTGCCGGATCATAGCTCCAATTTACCACAGCAAGGAGGCAGTGTATGTGCGTGTTTGACTGGATGCATGATATTATCTTGAACTATTAAAAAACAAACTATTACTAAAGCTATTACTTACCAAGAAAATGGAAAACACTAAAAGCTTTAGCGATGGCATTGCAAATACACAACCAATAAATATGAAAATTAAATGATGCACCAAATCCCCCCCACAAAGGTCTCTCTCAAAGTGTAAGAAAACCCCCACCCTCAAAAGTTATCCTAATATGTTTAACATTACATAAGTGCTATGATTACATTTGGGAAAAAACCCTGGAATCTCAATCACAACAATCATCCAACCACCAGAATGCCCACCTCTCAGCTGATTCCTGGAGCCCCAGAACACCACCAATACAAAAATATTTTTTGAAATTTTGAGAAACGCATTAAAAAAATTCTCACCCTTATATAATATCACAGATAGATGAAAAACTGATCATTATTAATTTTCATTAAATTTGGAATAACCAATCAAAGCTCAAGAACACATTTGCTATTCTGTGGCATTCAAATAATTTGGTTATCACAAAATTTTGGAATTAAAAAATTAATATTCCACTCTTTACTAGTACATTATAAAGGTATGATCGGCTATCGAGATTTTTCCCCTTAAGAATATAGTTTAAAATTCAGTAACCAATCGATACTGATTTAAAATTTCTACTTTTCCTTACACACAAGTAGATAAAATTCATATAAAGTCAATTTGGGAGTTAAATGCCCTGTAGTTAAGTGTTTCAGATTTTAACTTGTTATGGACAACATTTATTTCTGGAAAACCTGTCATAAGCAGGAACTGATACTTTTCAGCCTAAGATGCATTTGTTTTGTTTTGTTGGGTTTTTTTGTATCATGTTCTAGTGCAACACAAGCCTTAACTAGACTATATAAAGGTCAGAATGTCAGATTTTTGTGCTGATACGCATACTTCCATAGTCTTCAACAATTGAAGCAGCTGACTCATAGATTTTGGAGGCTGGTATTCCCATAAGAATTTCAGAGATGTGTTGGGTGTAATTTAATGTGATAACCAGACTCCTGAAGTATGTACTGGAGTTATTACTAATAAATGGGAAAGGACTTATGAAAAAGAAGAGAGACTTCTTCAAACTATTACACATCAGTACCTCTATAGCCAATTTATAGTTTTCTGTATTGCCTCTTGGCCAGTTGAAATGCACTCAATGCACTCTACTCGAGACCCTCTTGCTCTTCACCACTGTCCCCTCTGACATCCATTCTTTTTTCCTTATGGCTGTTGTAAATTCTCCTCATCTCTTCTTCATACTTGATAAAATTTTCCCCAAACCTTGTCCATGCTTTGTAAGGGACAGTGATGGTGTTACGGTAAGGTGGTCTCACCTCACTTACCTTCAAAAAAATGCCATACCTGTTGGATCCCACATCAAAATAGAATCGCTTGTTGTCCACCCTGAAGGAAGTCCCCTCTGGAAGTTCAGGGGGCTCATCACCCCCACTTCTTCGTTCCTCTATATCCCCCTCACCGTACTCTTCAATTAGCTGGACCAAAGCATCCCTGAATTCAATCATCCCTTGCGCCGGAAGGACAATAGTCTGTTCCTGTCCCAAACTGTGGCCAAAATAGCCTATCATGCCAGGTCCTCTGATCATAGTTTGTCTAATCCTTAGGAAGCGCCCACGCTGATTCTCCTTTAGATCTAAGTAATATTTTCTGTTGTCTCTTTCTATGTACTCAGTTTTCAGGACACTATGGGGATGTTCTTCAGATCCAACAGATGTGGGAGGGGAAGGAGGATGATGCGGCTGCCGCCTCCTCAGATCCTGCTCTTTGCCATTACTGTGCTCATGTCTATGACTATGGCTGCCTTTTAGGCCCAAATGGGCATAGTGTTCAATGAAATCGCCCAGGCAATCCTTCAGCTCGGCTGCCACGGACAAGGAGAGAGTCAGTTTACTTTTCCTGATGTTGTCTTGCCTCCCCCTTCCTATCCAGACCTCTGCTATCTTCAGGAAGCGCCCTCGGGAGCTCTGCTTCACATCCAGGTAAAATCGCTTTTTCTGGATGTCCACCCTCTTGGAGGCCAGCTCCTGGATCTCCATGCAGCCGCCTGGAGAGGAGGCTGAGTACTGATACTGCTGCTGAGACTGGGAGTACACGCTCCTGTGCAAGCCGGAGCCTCCCAGGCTCCTTCCTCCTCCTCCTCCTCTCCCCTTCTCCATCTTTACCAGTCAGCTGGAAATGACACACACCAGAGACACAGACCATCACATCGGTAACGGGGCCTGCTCTGCTTCTCAGCCGCCCCCGGGGGGATGGCTGCCTCCCTCTCTGCCCTCCCCCGCCGGCCAGGGCACGCAGCAGCGGCTCACGGCGGGCCCCACGGCCTCCCCCATGGACCACCGCAGACTTCCCCCAGCAGGCCCGGCCA